AAATACCCAGAAGCCAAACCAGAAATCATTATCTGTTTACATATAAAAAGGAGTCTTTTTGATGTCAGCAACAAAGGCAAATTGATGTTTTCTAAACCTAAGCATGATGCACAATAAATCATCCTGAATTATACCTCCGTTGTACTGTAAACAATTTAATGATGTTCCAGTAGAAGTTAATGCACTTGCGTTAAACACAANATTCAGGTCTAAACACGCAATGATGAGGAATATAATACTGCACATCTGGTTCTTCAGACTCTTGTACTTCCTCCATATGACCCATATTTAAATACTCGAGCATAAATGCTTTGTGAAGTTCACAAAATTGAGGTTCTCTAGCAAGGCGATTCCATAACGAATTCAAACACTTTACTTTTACAAACGCAAGCTTTTTTCTTAGATTCACCCAGACATTGGACGCGAATTGCACGTACGTTTCACTCATCATTTTTTACGCTTTCCTAAAATTCTCTAAACAGATTTTTTTGATGGGGGGGGATGGCTCGAATTCTCTCAAAACTATAGTTTTAACTTTAGAATAATCTCCTAATTCGTCATCTTTAATGTATGTAATTATATTTGTGGCTTTTTACCCTAACAGATTTAGAAGAATTTCAGCCTTAAATTTCTCAGGGACATTTTTTGAAATAAAAGCTCTTTCTAATGACGAAAAGAAATATCCCCGTCCTTCTGGTCTATTAGGGATTTTATGAGTTAAAGTCCTCACACTTTTAATGAGAGAGTCTAAAGATTCTACACTTTCGTTTTTCACACTATCAACAGGTAGTTCACTTTTAGATTCGATTCGCAATTTAGCGAGCTCAAGTTCCGATTTCACTCTTTCAGCTTTTAATTTTTCAATTAATCGGATTTCATCACTTTTTCTTTCTTCGATTATGTTATTTGCTAACTCTTCNCAACTCTATCACTTACGAACATATTTTTATAAATAGTACATTTATACAAAGGATGAATTTCATCACATAAAATACATTTAGTATTTTTTACATCCGTTAGAAACGCTTTTGACATAGTTTTCGAGTTATTTTTATAACTCATTCTAGCATTATCAACTACGGGTTTTCCCCTAGAAGTATAAAATAAATCTATCTCCCTAGCTAATTCTACAGGTTTAAACCAAGAACTTGCTTCTTAAATTTATAAAGCACATAACCTCTCTATCAAGTGTTTGATTAATTTTATCAGATACTATTACTTGCTTTAAAGTTTCGATGTCAGTTACATTTTTCAACTTTAAATAATATTCCCAACTCGTTATTAATCTAGACGCGAATTGCACGTACGTTTCACTCGTCATTTTTTACGCTTTCCTAAAATTCTCTAAACAGATTTTTTTTTGGGGGGGGGTTGGCTCGAATTCTCTCAAAACTATAGTTTTAACTTTAGAATAATCTCCTAATTCGTTATCTTTAATGTATGTAATAATATTTATGGCTTTTTCCCCTAGCAGATTTAGAAGAATTTCAGCCTTAAATTTCTCAGGGACATTTTTGAAATAAAAGCTCTTTCTAATGACGAAAAGAAATATCCCCGTCCTTCTGGTCTATTAGGGATTTTATGAGTTAAAGTCCTCACACTTTTAATGAAAGAGTCTTAAAGATTCTACACTTTCGTTTTTCACACTATCAACAGGTAGTTCACTTTCAGATTCGATTCGCAATTTAGCGAGCTCAAGTTCCGATTTCACTCTTTCAGCTTTTAATTTTTCAATTAATCGGATTTCATCACTTTTTCTTTCTTCGATTATGTTATTTGCTAACTCTTCAACTAACTCAATGTTATTTTTATACGTATCACAACTCTGAATTGCTGTAATTAGATCAACAATAGTTTTCATATTAGAAATGTCTACATTAAGCTCGACAGCAAGCCGAACATAGTCCTCTTTTTTAGCACTTTTAAACATATTGAACTTCAATAACTAAATAATAAATCACGTACCTTTTATTAGGTATATTATCTACTAATTTCACTACTGATAGCTCTGATAGACAAGACCAACAATGGGTTTGACGATAGCTCAGTTTACATAAATTCTCGATAAAATAAAAGTTCTCAAAACTCAGAAAATAGACTGTAATTATTAGTCACAATACTTAATTCACGTAACTCATTTCTCCCATCCGAGCTCTTCGGATTCATAACACACACTAAAATTTCATAGATCTGGATCATAGATTCTGGATCAAAATTTCATAGATCATAGAACTTCTGGCATCAACAAGGAGCTTAGATTTATGTTAATTTTAGAACTATAGAATTTTTTTT